CCCTTGAATCTTCCCTCTGCTTTTTTGGTCCTCTGTAGAATAGAAGTCTTAACTCTGAAAGCATAACTCATTTTTACACAGTAATCTAAAGCCTGTTACAAAGACTGCAGAGACCATTGCTATTATACTTCATTGTTCTGCCACATAATGTGTTGGTTTGGGTTTTTTTTCCCATATGTGTGAACCTGTGATTTGGGAGCCATTGTCTTGCTCTTCATTAGTCTACCTTGCAAGAGTTCAGGTCAGGGACTGAGACCCTGGCATGCCAAGTAAAACTAGAAAGTCAAGAGAGCAGGTTTTATTTTTTTTTTTCCAGTAGGGGATGTAATTGTGAGCAGTGTTATATGGTAACAGGAAGAGTTTTGCATGAAAGATAGGGCACCTGTTGCCTTATGGAGGGCACTCCCTTCAGCCGTCTTTGGCACTTGTACCCTGCTAAAACTGGCATAGTATCTTCTGAGTGGGCACCACATCAGACTAGCAGATGGACTGGAGCAGAATCTTGCCAGAAAACAGTTTGTGCATCAAGTTTTAAATATTAGAGGCCTGGACTCCCATCTGAGAGTTCTGTAAGAGCAGACCATGCGTAGCTTTTCTGCCTGGGGTTAAAGGATGTGTCGTACCTATTTCAGCTTAGAGTAATTAACTTTGAAAGTCAAAAAGTGGCATCCATTGCTGTGGAATACAAAACTTTGGCTCTAGTGAATCAAGATTAAGGTTTCATAGACAGATGAGTACGAAATATAGCAAAATTTCCTACCAGAACTGAATGTTCTTAACTTGGAGGCATTTGTAGTTATCTGCAAAACAGTTTAGTAGTTGAGCACCATTTTCTACCAAAACCAGTTTAGTGAGGTCTTGTGGAAGATGGTTTCACAAGCATGGTATAGAGGGCTATGTATCTGTAATTTGTATAATAAAACTTTACATTCATAAGGCTACCTAGAAGAAGAATATAGGAAAAAAAAAACCCTATTTGTAAACATTGCTCAGAAAAGAGTCTGTCCAGGAACTTATGATGCGTCTTTAAAGTAATAATATGAGCAGAGAAGCAGGTCTTCCTTAGGCTGCATTAAAAATGGACTGTAATGAGCCTTCAAGCACTGAATGTTTCAGTTCTTGGGAAATACTGGATATTGTGAAGGGGGGGGGAAAGCAATGTGCTTTGTTCTCCTTTAAATACTTGCCTCAGAACCCTCCATATGTAGGAAATACTTGAAGTTGAGTGTTAAATAGCAGATACGACTTTTTATTTATTTGTGTACATTTTGGTTTTAGTAACTATATTCCTGCAACTTGGATTGTTTTTTTCATTGTTAGATGCTCTAAGCAACGCTCTCCCCTGTTTGTTAGCCATTGAATTTAACAGCTCTTGGCTTGACTTAAATGGGGTCAGAATGTTTCCAGCTTTTTTTTACAGGTAGCTTCTAACTTCAAAAAGTGTGATATTTTTGAAGTTAGTTTTTGTTTCTGCAAAAAAACTAAGCTGACAATATTGCTCTTCAGGATTAGTTAACCAGTGAAACAAAGCAAAAATAAAATACTAGCGACCCAAGAACTTCTGAAAATAATTTTGTTCATGTTTCCCAAACAAATATATCCTCAAAAATATCCAGCAGTGGCAAAGACACCAGCTGTGGACAGGAGCAGGGATGTTTTTTCAAACTGCCAAATCAATGCTGTTTTCTTTTCCACTGTGTAAACTTTGTCAACAAAACTGGTTCTGTGAGAGCCATTGAAAATATTTCACCATATTCCAAATGTGACTGCCACAAATTAACTGCTAAAACTACAACAAGCACGTTTGAACTGGCAAACAGAATTGGCACGTTTCTCTGTCAGATTGCATGCAATTGTGCTGTGTGGTTGTAGGAAATCACAGTTCATCCAGAAACACTCTTTTGTTACTGTGTCATATTAACGTTTAGAAAGCTACATTAATTAAGGTTGTGGCACTCGGCAACAAAAAGGATGAAATTCATGATGAAAGTGGATGATAAGACTATAACTGCTGTGCCTGGGTGAAACTAGGGAATTCTGGACATGGGTTAATTTGAGGAAAGTTATTTGCTGCGTTGTGTAGGCACAACAGTTGGAAATTGTGGCAAAGAGCGTGAACCTTACTGTACTGCTTTATTTCAGAGTGTATTTTAAATGTATATGTTTTTTCACTGGCATGGTAGCTGCAATTATGTGAGGAAGGGGAGGAAGGGAAAATAGAGCTGTGCCCTTTGCCCTTCACAAATATTCTGTGAGAGTCCTCTTGGTATGAGATAGAAACAGCCACAGCCCCATACACAGCTTCATCTTGCACCAGTGCTCCCAGTTAACAATCATGCAGACAATGGTTTTCATTGTGTGCATACATCAACACCCCTGCCCCCAAATGTAAGGAGCATCTCTAGTTGATAAAAGGAAGGTAAACTGTAAACTGGGAACTCTCACACTTGTTATGCTATTTTAAGATATCCTTTGCAAACATAACCTCGCCATATAGCGCTCCTGGTACTCTTTGTGTGTACTTATATGCCATCAGAGACCTCCTGCCTATCAGCATTGCTCTCCTGCAGGGTCTCTGCTTACTGTCCTGCAGTCTAGCATTTAACTGATTGTAATATTATAAATAGCCATGTGCTACCACACAGAACGAGGCTAGCACATGGCTAATTACGAGTATACAGTAATTAACTATGAGCTAAACTCGCAGGAGAGTATGTGGTGGTGGTCTATGAGGTATGTAATCAGACTGTTTGTTAAACCTTGGGAGCCTTTCCAGTCTGTTAAGTAACTATACATAGTAATGAGACAATTTTTTAAAAACCATTTATGTGTATTTATGGACAAAAAAATAGTCTGTCTTATTTCTAAGCTGCGGTTAAAATATTGCTGCCTGGTATATGAATGCTTAATTAAAAAGATACAACAAAAGGTACATATGCAGCTTCAGCTTATCTGTGTGTATGCGATTATTGTCTAAGCATTATCTGTGTAAGAAGGTTAGAGTGTTATTCACTGTGAATGTTATGCCTCGTTTCATGTATGTGCAGTAAAAACAATAACACCATTTCTCCTTTTGTAGATTTGAATGTCATGTTACTCACTTTGTGGAGCATCTGTTCCTGTATCTAGTTGAGCTTTGTCTGACTTTTCTCCCTTTTCACATTGTAACAATTGCCAGTTAGTTTTGGTTTGATTTTTCTTCAGGATGTTCTTTCAGTGTGACTCCAAAAAGCATCCACACCGGCATAGTGTAAAAACCATGGGGGTTAGGCCCTTTTGCTGGGCTACCTCCCGTTAATTGCTCTTCTTCATTACCCTGACAGCTGTTACTGTCTGTTCCAGATTACCATGAATGAGGCCTCTCTTTATAAAATGTCAAGATGTCTACAGGGAAGTTAGATCAAACTCTTTCAAATACATTTAAATGTGATACTTCTCTATACCTATCAAACCTTGGTTTATGTAACTTGGTGTTAAAATATGTTTTCTTATACGTAGATTCTTTTCTGATCTGTGTCAGTAAGGGAGCACTTCTAATTCTGTTTGGGTAATGTAGTGTTGTTGAATACAATGAAAATGCTTGGGTTATGTTCCTTTTAAACTAATGTCTTCAGCTATTAACGCATTGTCTATAGGTGGCAGAGAAAGATAAAGACTTAAGCACCTGTGCTTTAGTTCCCAGTTCAATACCAGAATATTGTAAGAACAAAGTTTACCAAAATTTCTATCATGGCTTTATGGTAGTTTAAAATTGTATTCTGAACGTGACCGCTACTTCTCTGAGTCTATGGGTAGTTCACACCTTCCAGAGCTCCTGTTCTAGTATATGTTCATATTATCTTAATGCATTATTAGCACAGAAGCATCCACATGGGGAAGTGTCAAGCAGAAGGCAGTGGGGACTCAGCGGGCATTTGGGGTGTGTATGCTGCCAGATTCAACCCAGATGCTGAATAGAATTGAAGGAAGATAGCAGCTGAAGCAGTCTGTTCATTGTAAAAAATAGTTTTATGCCCTGACCATCAAAAAATGTAAGCTTGGATGGTTTGGTTAGACCCAAGTTTGCTTGATTTTTATTATGCGGATAAAAGTAGTCTATTTTTGTGTGTGCTGACAGTTGAAGTGTCTCACACCTGGACTGTTGTTGGTATCTGATCATTATAAGAAGTTTGAAAGGGACACTTATTTCCTAGGAACTGTGTTCTTTTTAGTTTTTTTCAGTGATGATTCTAAAAGATGATTTAGTCTCATTAAATTTTAATCCCAGTGTAGCTCCATGTAGCTTCAGTAGTATCAGAGAGAATTGATAGTTCTCTCAGGGTCAGAAGAAAATAGGATTGCATTGTCTGTGCAGAGAGGTTCTGTCTCCTGGGCTGTAATTGGCACATGTGGTCAATTATTGTTTTGAAATCTTTACTTGCACTGAGAGGCACAATCCCTCATCTCCCCTTTAGGCAGGTGGTGGCTGTGCTATCCCTAACTTAGGCCAGTGTCTAAATAATGTCCCGTAGAAATCAAGGTTCTAGGGCCAAATTAATTTGTAATGGAGGAAAGCAGACAATCCTGTCTAGAGGCATAATGTAGGTCATAACTTTTAAGCGGCGTCTTTGTCACGACAGTGGATTGACAGCAACCAAATACAGAGGTTATCCAATTGACTGGCATGGCTTAAACATAGTTATAATGGAATACCTCACTGCGGTGCAAACATGCAGTAGGGACACCCTGCTTACTCCTTAATCAGCATCGAGGGAGAGAGTTCTGAAAGTGTGGGTTAAAATTGCATCTGTACTTGTTGATTAAAACTTCCGTATGTGTGTTGTTTTCATTTTGTTTTTCTTTGAACTTGGCAAAACTCTGACCTTCAAAAGCAGGAATTCAGACAAAATGTTGGCTCTGTTGTGTATTTTTTGGTCACCTTATGCAATGTTACTTGGTCTTTGTTTGCAATTATATTTTGTTGCATACAGCTTGATTCCCATCTCTTTCTCATTTTGCAGCTTCCCCTCAAATTCATGTTCCTGTAGAAGAAGATGCGCTGCATGTAATTAAAGTGGTAATGTGTAGATCTCCTTTCTAAATTGTTAACTTGTATGCAGTCCTTCCTCTTAATTATCTATCCTTATTTTCAGCATTGGGTCTGTATTGCATGCTTGTGGCTTTGGTTTTTTTTTTTTCACCCCTATTTTTTTAATATGTGTTTAGACTTTCCCTGCTTGGGGATATATTTGGCATTTCCCTGACACATAGTATTTCCTTGACTTGATTCTTTCTTTTCCTTGATTACTGCACTCAACAGTTTAATAAAGAAAATCAGGCTATGAACTTAAACACACCTGATCTACAATATTTCCGAAAATAGTATTTTAAATAATTCCGGAAAGAATCTCTTGTTTATGGAAATGTGTTGCCAAACAAGTTTTCTTTTTAGCTCCTTACTAACATTACATTTCAGCTGGCATGGTATATAGGAGGCGGGGGAAAAAGAGGGTTTCACCCTCTTTGAAATTCTCATACGCTTTTCTTTAGAAATTCTTGCCTTTCTAACGCATTTTACAATACAAATTATATTTATTTCTCAATAGGAATATCTTGAAAATGGTCCCTTATTTTCTGAACTGAAATTTTACCAGAGGGCTGCAAAACAAGAGCATAGTAAGTAATATATCCGTTCTGATTCAGGTGGATTTAAGGACAAGCTTGAGTTTAACTATGTCTGAAAAGAACTATTGCTTTAGAGCTTGATAGCCAACTCATTGCATATATACTAAACTAATCCTATTTGGTTCTATAATAATTTTAGATTGCTGTAAGTTTCTTTACTTGGATGTCCTCCTTTCTCATTGGAAAGGACAAGGATAACAGAAGTGTGCCAAATTTATTATGCACACACTTCAGAGTGCACAGCAATGAATAGACTCCAGAGAGAGGCCAGCCTTAGAGCAGAGGTGCTACATGGACTAATTGGTGACCGTATTTCTGCTAGTAACTATTTCCATGTGCGGAGCTAAATGTGTATGTAATCGTCACAGAATTTAGTATTAATCAAGGCACTTGATTCTACAGATGCTTAAGCATGGATGTGGTTTATTCATGGTAACTGTCCTAAAGGCTCTAGATGACTTAAGACTGCTGGTAGACATAAGCACTTTTGATAGCTTGAAGCATTCTGTATTGAATAAAGTAGCGCTTCTAAAGGAATTATTTCTTCAGCTATTGACAATTGCTGATCTGACTTCTAAGGGAACAAAGTACCACATTGCTAGAACAAAAACCTGCTTCTTGTTTTGGAGAATGTAGAGATCTTCACAGTAAAGTTATGGTCTGAATTTTTTGCTGTACAAACTGCCAGATAAATCTTATTTATTTCGTTGTTTCATTCAAAGTCTTGGCTTGATAGCTAAAACAAAACCAACAAAAAACCCCACACTAAACATGAAATTCTCTAGCTACCTTTAACCCAATGTTGTCTTTTTATTATTATTACAGTAAGAAAATGGATGAATCTCAAAAAATTAAGATGTTTAGGAATTCCAGTGTTTTGGGGATCGGGCTTGGCAGAGTACAAGGGAAAAAGGTACTAAGATGAATTGTAATTAAGCCTCAAATTAACTGAAGATCCATTTTCAACAAAATGGAGAGAAGTCCTTCCATCTGACGCAAACTTGTAGTCTTGTCTTAAATGTTTCCTCCCTTTTATATATTCCCTGGTAGCTATAGATTCATGGTCATGGAGAGACTGGGGGAAGACCTTCAGAGAATCTTTGAAGCTTGTGGGAGCAGATTTAAGAAGGAGACTGTTCTGCAGCTTGGGGCACGGATGGTACGTACAGAGAGAGAGGAATGCTGTGTCTCAAAATTGCTGAGTTCAGGTAGAAAATTATCTTTCTAAAATAGTTCCTTTAGGTAGCTCTTGAGTTTAAACTAAACACGTGTAAATGCTATGTATTTTCTTATGTTTCCATTTTTTTTTTTTTTAATTAGTATTAAGTAGAAAATCAAGACCGCCTGCAGACTGGAAGTTGGTAGGCTCAAACCAAAACTTTTTCTAATAGGTTAGAACAAAGACCATGCGCTTCAAAATGTGTGTCTAGACTGAGATGTGTAAGCCTATTGTCATATGCTTAAACATGTATTGATTTTTTTCTTTTCCCAATGTCTGAAGGGTATTGTATTAGACATCCATATTTGTCAAAGTTCACAATTGCATGCCTGAAAGCAAAATTTTCAGTGAGTTTGAAGAACACACTGATTGTACAATCCAGGATTAGGCTAGTCTGCAAATATCAGTTTTTGTTTTCAAATGTGTGTAGACTGGCACATAGTAATGGAAGATTGTATACATGCTCCTTTGTAATATCATTTGTGTTGTGAAAGAATGCTATTACTGGACAGAGGTGCACAGCAAATGGAGTAGAGGCAGTGGTCATAAATTGCAGGAAGAGGAACTCTGAGTATGAAGGAACAGTTTTGACAGAAGTTGTGTCTTAGCACTGGAATATGCTTCCTAGAGGCTGTGAAACATCCATCCTTGGGGACTTTTAAAACTTGACTATTCAATCTCTTGTACAGCCTGATCTAACTTATATTAGCTCTCCTTGAAGAACGGGGTTTAGACTGGATGTCTCCAAAGTTTCCTTTTAACTTTAATAATAACAATTAAAAAAAAAAAAAAAGTGAAGGGCTTTTGTAGTCACATAATTGACAAACTTGTAACACTCTCTCTACTCTCCGAAAGCCAGGATTAGATTGTCCTCTGTATGAGCTGTCAAGTGCAAACGTGTTTTTTAATAACAATGAGAGCTATTGTACCTCAGTAAGGAGCTGAAGAAGGATGATGATGCAGGGGGATGGTGACATGAAATGCAGGTCATAGAATAACTGGCAGGATCAAATATATTATAAACCTTCAGGGCTGATTGAATATGTTCTTTTTAAGAGCTTAGTGTTCTCAACATTTCTTCCAGTGTATAAAAAGTACTGGTTTCATTCTTGCTCTGTGACCTTAGAAGCTGGTACTTGTAGCTAGTTACACAGCGATACCTCATGGCAAGTTATAGCTTGTTTATGATTTGCCGTCAGCTATGTGCCTGGTGGGAACAGACCCTATGGACAGAGTGGGAAGTTCTTGTGCTCTTGCTCAAAAGAGCTCAGTGTAAGTGAGAGATTTGGTGGTAGCGTTAGGGACAGAGTGGATATGATGATGATGTTTTCTTTTCTGTTCTAAATCCTCTCTTAGTTGGATACTTTGGAATATATACATGAAAACGAGTATGTTCATGGTGACATCAAAGCAGCAAATCTACTTTTGGGCTATACCAATCCACACGAGGTAAGCATGATTACTTACCTACACTGTTACTGTAATGTGTTTACAACTTAAAACTATTAAAGTTATGTATATTCTGCATTAACAATTCATGTATTAAAAGGCGTTTATGCATGAACATTCACATCCTCTCACAGCAAATCTGAGAGTGGCTCTGTGGAGCTTAAGGTCTGAGAAAGAAGCAGGGCAAAACTCCGCTTTGTCCACTTTGTGCTCTGCTGACTGGGGTACTGGTATGGATGGGTAAACTAACCAAGAGGGTAAGTTAGAGGACCTAATTGCTGTTCTAGGCTATGCCAGTTAAAGTATATTAGTAGAGCTTAAGGATGTGGCCCATTGTATTTTCATTCTTGGGAAGTTCTAGCTTTCTAATATTGTCATGAATTGTGTTTCTGTGCCGCTAACTCTTATGTCCTGCTTGTTGTAGTGGATATAACAGCTAAGTAGGATTAAGGTTGCTGCTCTCTAACACTTGAAAGCCTAAAGCTAGCCTTGAAATTGAAGTGTTTTGGTGAAACGTTTTGAAACAAATCTTTTGGTCCTGTCCTACTCCACATGCTCTTATGATGTCTTTTTTTTCTTCAGTTAATAAAATCTAAGTATGCTCTTTTCTTGGAAAAAAACATCATTTAGGGGACAAAAAGGGCATCTCTAATGTCACTTAAATATAGTTAGCTGAAAGCAATACTACTTTTCTTTCAATTTTTGTTTTTCTGCTGCAGTGATGAAGAAACAGATCTTGCAAAACAACTCACTGCCATTGGAGGTTGAGTGGTTGAACTATATCTGCTTTTTTAAAAGTTTCAAGTTAAATGGTTGAGTCAAATTTAACTTTTCAGCTTTCTAAAACACATAGTTTGAAAACTATCATGGCTGTTTAAAACAACCATAGTTTTAGACAGTGGTAGCAGCCAGTACATAATCTCAGTTTATGGTGTTTACCAGCCTGCTGAATCCAAAGGAGGAGGCTATTTAGAGGCAAAACGATCTGCTACCCAAACCCATTAACATAACTCAAATGACTTTTTTTTGTCTTGGCTATTGTGTATTTTTATGACAGCAAGATATGCTGCTGTTTTTCACATTGAAATCATTTTGGAAGTGTCCATTTACAGCAATCATAAAATTTTAAGACATGTAGCTGACTTTGATCAGCTGCTTTTGAATTAACCAGATTGTGGGGTGATTTTTCTGATTTGTTTCTCACGTTGTCTGCATGAAGACCATCCTATGCTAGTATTTTGTTTTCAGGCACAGTAAATTCATTGACAGATTAAAAATAAGGTACTTGTGGGTTACTGGACAGAGGTTTTAGGTGGAAATACAAATTAAGTTACATTTATTAAATAAAAGACATCAATAGATATTCCAGTTTAAGTAGCTCCTAGCTCAACATGTACAAAGTGCGTGTTACTGCTGAGAGGTTTTGTGTGGAATTTTGTTTCAGTAAAAGTTATTTTCCACTGAAATTATTCTATGAAACACTTTTAAACGTTCACATTCTAATTCAGAATAGTTAACAGGAGACAATTTCTAACATTTGCTTGCATTTTGTAAGGTATGAATTAAACTTTCATTTCTGTTTTGCTTAAGAAAACTTGGAGCTGTTCAGATATTATTCAGATAAAGTTCCCAGTCATGGGCCCCAGAAATTCTGCAAGTGGCCACAGGTCTGCTGGTTTCACTGAAGCCATGATAACTATACCATACCAGTCTACAGCTATGTAGACAATGGTGATGATTTCTAAATGTGTTTTAAAGCAATGTGTACTACGTTTAGCTTACACAGCAGGGCAGATGGCTTAATGGTATTGTTTCTGGTCAAATAAAAAAATATTTACCAGACACAGTTTGTGTGATACCTTGAAACATGCATGTTCTGTGGGTTGTGGGTTATGAAAAGAAGGAATAATCTTGTCCAACACCACAGCTAAAACTTCCAAACTGGCAGTTCTACATGTACCACTAACTGAATATCCTTCCTCTGGACCTGTTGACTCTGATGTGCTGTCTGTCCCCATACTTCAATAAATGTTCTTTACCTGGGTTAGGAGCAGTACTAGACAGTATTCTCATGCAGATTCAGGCATTGAGAACTGTATATGTGTACTTCCACAGATGATTTTGCATTTGTCATGTCCTGGCTATTTGCATGTGCCATTAATTTGCATGTAATTTTAATGTTGCTTCTTCCCACTCCAAATGTGCCCAGTTCCTATGTAAGACTTCGTGATGTTGCGACAGCCTTTTCTGCAAATCAAGCTGTCTTTTTAAAATGCTGGTGAGCTGAATGTATTACATATTTACCAGAACAGCATTTTGGGAAGCTCTGTGGAGCATTATCACTGACTAAACATGACAACAATATGGAATATCCTGTCCTGTATCCTCTAAACCATTGTCAGAGATGCTGTATTTTAATTTGACAATCTCATACTAGCCTGAGACACTTCAGATAATACCTCGGACACTGTTCTGCTACCAAATGCCTGTGACGTGTTGTCCAACCTTCTCTGCTAAAATGGTGGATAGTTAGATTGCCTTGGTCTTGTTTTTGTTTTTTTTTTTTTTAAAACAATGGAACTGGGTGGTAAAGTGATCAGCCTAATCTCATAAATAGGGAGTGAGAGCATCTAGCCAGTGGCAAACTCCGGCTCAGGGATACAAGCTGAGACCTATAGCTTCAGTGTGATTTGGCATAATAAACCTGTCTGACCTAACAATTTCTGTGGTGAGTTTTTGTTAAAAATTTTATGCTAGTGGTTTCTTGCTCTTTAGGGTCTAGGATTTTAAGAGAAAATAAATTGGAAGTGTTCTTTAATTCTAGAAATTTGTTTTTTAAAAGAAGTAATCTCTTAAAAATAAAATATATATTCAAAATGTATTTCCATAGTCTGTTTTGGTGAAGAGACATAAATCTCTGTTCAAAAAAGCATATGTACATTTATACTCAACTTTGCATTTTTGTGTCATTTAGTGGCTGTTCATGTGTACTCTTATGTGCAGATTTGTCACTGACTTCCTGCAGTTCCAAACCCCATCTTTTTTCTTTCAGACTTCCTGCTACTCTCTCTCTTCTGTAAATTAACCTGGTAAATTTACACCACAGCCAATAAATATCATAGTCCCCTTTTTGAAAGAATGTGTGAAATCCATACTGCTATCCCCTACCTTCTGTGGCAAGGCAGAGAAACAAATAAAGTAAAGGTCCTGTCACTCTGTGACCTCCAAATGATGTTTAGAAATGGTTAGAAGATCAGAATCAACTGACCTCAAAGAGCAGCTTGCTGCAGATCTATTCAGTAGAAGGGAGCGAGGCCATTCAGTGAGTTACAGGTCAAAAGATCAATTCTCTAGTCAATATGTTTCTGAACATGGACCTGGCACAATGACTGACAGAATAGGAGTGATGTACTGAGGGAGGGACACAGCCCATGAATCTCAGAGAGGCCTGAAAGAAAACTTGAAGTGATCAGACCTATAAATTACAGAACAAGCAAAGCACTGGCTCAGTATTGTGGTGAGTTAAAGATAGTTCAGTGCATAGTTGTAACTGTTTGTATGATAAAGCAGAATAAGCATTATTGATGTAGACTCTAAAGGAAAAATTCAAATCCATTAAACTCATTTAAGTTGTGATACTATAAAAAGGGGCAAACAGACACTGGGCAAGAGCTTAAAATCAGAGTTTTTAATAATAAATGAAATAAAGTTTGGAGGAATGCCTCTTCAAAATAATTACCTTGTAGTATTTTCTTTTTCTCCTAAGGAATATATGGGCAGACACACAGCAGTGCTGCAGAATCAAGTCTGCACCAGAAGTTGCCTATTTGGATTTTTAAGCTGTAAATTTTAATTGCATTTGCACCTCAGTTCTGATTTTAAGTGTTCCTTAGACAAGATAGTTACAGAATAATGCTCAGACTTGATTATCATAGATAGCCCTAACCGAAAAAGAAAAAAGAATAATAAAAAATGTTTCAAAATATTAACTTTTATGACCAGCTTGCAGTGGACCAGCACAGAAGATACAGAGCTCACGCACTGATCATATGGGAAAAACATTCATGAAAACAATTCTAACTTTAAACCATTTGTCATCGTGAGATGAATCATTGTGATTCCTGCTCTTTAGTCCAGTATGACAGATTTGCTAAAGAGCGGATGAATCAAGGAAAATGAAAATCTTTTCTGTTCTCTTTCATGTGTTTTTAAGAAGGATACAGTATGCAGAGATACCATACAGAAACAGTTGAATTTTAACTCATGGATGCTGGCTACACCCCTGATCTGAGATGTAGCTTCACAATCAGGTGGCTTTAATTTTCTTTCATTAGTCCTACTGCTACATTTGGATAGAACTGCTTACAACAGTTTTAATTTCTTTTTGTAGTGATAGCCCAAATACCTTGGAGTTCAACTGATTCCAGCATCGGCAGTTGCCACTGACAAGTCACAGAAAATTTCTCCCCCTCTCCTTTTTTTAACCTGCTTTCCTCCTTCAGTGGCTTCTGTCTTGTGAAAGATGCCGTTTCTGTCCCAAACGCTATACTTTAGACTTCCTGTCCCAAGACAGACTTCAGTCCATCTTTAGCCCTTTTGTAGCGTAGTGTCCAACTGAAGTTGACAGCTCTATGGCCATTAGCAACCAATCTGCCTCCTATTAGTAGGCATCTACTTAATTATTTACAGCGCATGACATAAGCCTAGCCATGGAACCATTGGAAAGAAAATGAATGAAGAAAATCACGGTATTGTTATCCTTTCAGCAATAAATCTCCTGCTATGTGTACTTCAAGATAAAGAGAATACCATGAAAATCTCAAGTGCCAGGCTTATGACTTTGCAGATCAGTGTGGTTATAATGTATACAGGTTATAAGAATTTTATATGATTAGCAGGTATTTAACACTTTAGATATAAAACACTGTGAGGGAGTCCTGCACAGAAAGAACAAGAGGACTGCTGAATCTAGGGCTGGTTGCTTGTGCACATAAATAATTATTTGTGCCTGTTTGCTTCAATAAGATGGGCACGTTCATGTTTGCATGAAATGAAGTGTGAAGACTTCAGAAATCTGGCTCCTAATCTATAGCAAAATTTATTAATAGCAGACGGTGCTAAGCATGTGGAGTCTAGTGCAGACTGGGATGTGTATAAGAGAGAAACTTGAACAAAACCGAAAGAGGTAAAGAAAGTATGGGGGAAGGAGCGTACAATGTAACACAGCTAAACCCAGCTGTTCTAGGCTTATGTCACTTGCACCTTCATCATCCTCCATGTTACCATTGCTTGTTTCAAGTGTCTTCTTTATCTTGCTCTGCATATGTTTTGTCCTCTTCTTGTTCTTACTTGTCTCATTGTTCCTATAAAAAGCATGCAGATTAAAAATATTTATGGTATTGAAATGTGTACTAACACTGCCTTAATTTTTCTCAATATTCTTTTAACAGTCGTCATCTTTCCTCCCTCCCTATGCCCTTAAAAAAAATCCCAGCAACCTACAAATTCATTAACTACCCCTACCCACCATGTTCTGAGCAAATTTGGAAGGGCACGCTGTGTTACATTATCAAAAAGTGACAACTAGCTATAAAGAACTATATATCTTTTTAATGATGAAAGGGTTATAATGAGAATTGATGAAACTAAATTAATGGTAATTTAAAGTAACATAGTCATTCTGATAATGGTTGTGGCAAGGTCGTAACAGTGCATTGCTAGTTTTGTACAAGCTGAAGGGGGTTGATTTTTTTTTTTTTGTTGGTGGCCAGGAGGCCACTTTGAGAGGCTACCATCGGTTGCTTGTGGAAAAAATCTGTTGTGAAAGTTTGGGAAGTGATAAATGGCTCCACTGGAAGTGAGCTGAACAGTGACACTTATGACCAGCTGCCAGAGCAAACCATGGTGCAGTCATAGATGATGTTGCAATTGCATGTGAGCAGCTTTAAGAAGTGATTGCTTTCTTGGTTTCCAGGTCTCGCCACCATCGGTCAAGGCAGGATAACCTAATGCTACTTCTCTCTTTTAGAGGGGTATTTCAGTATAAATTTAAAACTGCTTTGCTGATACTATTACTGAAGGTATTTTAAGCAAATTGTTGCTTAAAAATGGATTAAGAGCACATAGTTACTGTGATTTATCTGTAGGATAACTGGTAATTCTTTTTACATAGTTCAAGTTTGACTAGCAAATATTTGTGGCTACTTTCTAGATGCCCTGTTGTTAAGATAGTTTGAAAGACCACCAAGGCTGGGCTGCCATATGGGAGTGTCTATCACATAAGTTAGTGTTCCCAGTCCAGACAGAACCAGAGAGCTGGCAGAGATGCTTTTCTTGTATTGTTTTTTCTAACAGTTAAAATCTCATTTTAATATAAGGCATAGCCTGAATTTTTAAAGGTTGAAATCTGCTCTGTATTTCATCTTGTTGTGTCTGGTCAACTGTACATGTCAGAAATCTCTAGTCAAGCAAAATCTGAAATGTACCACTTAGCCTGGGAAGAATATAACTTTTAGCTTACTTTCTCCTTCCCAGCCTGCAAAGGATGCAGAAGACCTACAAAACTTGATATTAGGGCAGTTTAAATTAGTTCTCTCACACTGACTGTGGGCTCATTTAGGACAGGTACCAGAGCATCAGGAATACGCTGCAGAATGGATGCAGGAGAAAATCGAATCAGTCAACCCAACAAAGTTTATGCCTTGTCCCAGATTTTCTAAATGTGCCTACAGTCTTTAATCTTGTATCACAGTTTGTATAGTCTGTCAGGTGAAAAACACCATTGGTAATCTTAAAAGCCATCACCCTGCAGGAAACGAGTGCTACATCCCAGCTTACACGCTCCAAATAAGCACAGATCCTGCAGCAGAAACAGTAAAACCAAGAGACCAGCCATCCCAGGATTTGAAGCTGCCTGGAGCACAAACAGGAATCAGTAGTTCAACAGAATGTGCTACAAAATAGTGCATTAAGTTTTCTTGAGGGTTTTTTGTTTGTTTGTTTTTCCTCCACCAGGAGTGACATAATTAAATTAAAAGTGAGTGCCAGAAGAGTTTATTTTTGACTTCTAAGGTATAAACTGGTTTTTAGCTAAAGAGGAAGCAAAACTAAGGGTTGAATAAGAAAAAGGGTTTTTTCATAATATAGCATGATTTAGTAGAAATGATCTCTATGTGCCTTCAGATGGTTTAGCTTTTGTCCCAGAGATCAGTTGCACTGGCAATGTAAGAGCAGTTTGTAGCTTTTTTATTTTTTTTTTAAGTGAAAGTACTATACTTAGATATTTATAAAAAAAGCAATTACCTAATGTGAGAACTGGTCAATGTAAGGGGGCAAAGGCCAGGTGGGAGTGTGAAAATGACAAAGTGAGAAAATAACCTATGGGATATTGTGGGGTGGACAGATTGTGATTAAATTCCAGCTGCTTTCAACAAGTTACTGCTTGTCGGCTGCGCTGCAGTAATTGACCACGTGCATGTATTAAGTCCACCTCTGTTGGAGGGTAGAACATGTTAATCTGAACTTCATAGAGTGGACTTGTGCCCTTAATCTAAATTATGTGAGTGGCAAAATTGACATGGATGCAGTGTGCTATGCCTTTAGAGAAGTAGAGGCATAGGAGCCAGATGGCATGTTCGGGTTTGTCTTGACAGGCAGCAGAAGAACAGAAAGCAAAATTCAGCTTCTCCTGAGCTGTTCTGTTTTCAGCCTTGAATACGGTAAGAGTGAGCAAGACTAAGTTTAAAGCCACTTCATACTTTCACAGTGAAGTCCTGAAAATGTGCAAGTGCATCTCGCAGATGCATCATTCAGAACTGTGGGACTTCCCCCTGGGGTGATTTAGGTATCTATAGTAAAGCATCTCAGAAAAAAAAAAAAAAATCACCTGTGCCAGGATGGAAAGGTAAATGTGGCAGAATGCATGAGCTTGATGCAATATACACAGTGGGGGCCAGTTTAGCCCCATGGATTTGCTTCAGAGTAACTTAGTGAAGTCTGGCTCTGTGCCTTTTTAAAATTTATTTTAAATTCAGGAGTGATTTACTAAGAGTGCTTTCTGGGTTGGGGGGGGGCTAGTTTGTTTTGCTTTGTTTTATCTTACACTTTATGTTTAAATAGTTGATGCCAGAATGAAGTTACTGACAGTGACATTGAAAAAGATGAGATTATAGTTAGGCTGATGCCCAGTAGCCCTATGATCACGGTCCCTGTGTCTGGTCCAGCTAGGGGAAGCTGCTGCCTCTTGCCTCCTCTGGCTTTGAAGTTGCACTGCTGTTACGAAATTGTACAGTCTCAGCTGATGGAAAATTTGCATGGGGTGTGTATGTGCCTGTTTAAGTAAAGAGAGGAAGGGTCCCATAAGCAACGTGAGGATACATAAAAGGCATATTGCCGTTTATGATGTCTAGGTGCCCACCTGGAGAGGAGAGAGCTTAGGAACAAAATTAAAAGACTGAAATTCTGTTCGACTCTGAAATAAGATAAGAGTATAGTAGCGGAAGGATTTAAATGGGGAGGGCAGCTGTTATAGCCCCTAGTTGTACATATTTTATCCTGAGGCACCATTTGGTTTAATAAAATTTAGATCTAAGGCTGTCCTTAACCTATCAGTTTCTTAAGACTTAATTATAAAGGTTATACTTTCAAAGGACAAAAGCATTATTCATTTGTCTGTTCATGTCTTCCAGGTTTATCTTGCAGATTATGGACTTTCCTACAGATATTGTCCCAATGGGAACCACAAACAGTATCAGGAAAATCCTAGGAAGGGCCATAATGGGACAATAGAGTTTACCAGCATAGATGCCCACAAGGGAGTAGGTAGGTTTCTTTTTTTTATTTCAGAGGAGTGATTACAGAATGAGTAATCGGGCTGTGTGAGCTGATGTATACAGCAGAAGCAGTCTTGGGGATTGCTTAGGGTTGATCAGACCCTGGTGTGGTGACCTCTTCTTGTACCTGGGAATGCTCCTCCAGGGCTGGTGGGGGAAGGGGGGCAGCACGATTAAAACTAAAAGGCTGCTGCATGTCTGGTACTGGAAGGCAGCCCAAGATGCCCTAGGAAGAGCTTGCCATTAAACTTAATTGGTTCATGTTGGGAGTACTGGTTTGCGTTAGCTATACTCTGTTGAAGCAGAGGCAATATTTGCTAATGTTGCATTGTCAAGGAAAAATGTTTCAAGTCTGCACTGTCCTTTAGGGAGAGCTGTGTCTGAGTGTCACCATCTGTGTTATGAGAGGCTATTTCAAGATGACATTCCTTCTGCAAGGAGAAAAACCTTTTCTGAAGCCATAAAGTGTTAACTTTTTGAAATCTTTTTCCAGTAGCCTTTCATATATCTTACTTATTTAAACTCACTTTGATGGTATTGGAAACACATTTGCAGGTAAATTACATACATAGTCCTTTTATTGGATATTGATTGTACTGCCTTGCATTCCAAGGCAGACTTAATTCAACAATTCCCTAATTAGTTAAAGTCATAACCTATGTCTTGTATTCATTTACCATTAATTAAACCTTAGCTGTTTATTACACTGCAGTCCAAATCCAATAGCAGACCCATAGAGCCATAGAAAAGGGAATGGGAGGTCAATATCGAAAATATATGGTGCAAAGTCCCACTGATGGCTGCATTGTTCACAATCAATATGGTCAATGCAACACAACTTTCTTAGTTGCTATGTCAGCAAGACAAAAAGTCAATTCTAATGTTATGCTAGTGAAAAAATGGCGATTATTGAAAAACTTTGACTCTTGCTACGAAACAGTGTTTTTGTTAACTTTTCTTTTCCCCTATTCCCCCCCTTACCCCTGTGATCTTCTAAGACAAAAGGAACGGTTTTCTGCTGTCAGCTTTGCTAGGATCATAGTGTCACAAGCGATAACTGTAGAAATTTGTGCTTGTTAATAGCTGCTGAACTGTTACCTTAAACTAATACTTTCTAACGAGTTTTAGTTGGCACAAACAACTGTATATTATTGCTTTTTCTATTAAAAGGACCATTGACCATGTAATGTAGAGGGTCTTGATAATTTGCCGGCGCTGTTAAAACCTGCACTCGTTTAACTCTGGTCATTAGAAAAAATGAAATAAGACTGTCAAGTATTTGCTGCTAAGACAATTGCACAATTTCACCTGCTAAAAAATATTTTGCGGGGAAGAGGGCATTTGGTTCAGACTCTTCTAGCCCTCCTGAGCATACAGTGCATTTTCTGGAGCTCTGACTCTGGCTGTTTTTCGTGGTGGTGTGAGTGATGTGGCTATGTGCTATTATTTGATGGGGATGCTGTTTGAGGAATAGGTGGAAGCTGGAGTATTTGGGATTTGGCAGTTGGGTAGTTACAGCAGGTAGTTTGCCTAGCGGAGAGGCGTCTGTTGATGGGTATGTGATTACAGGACAGATAATTCCTTTTATTTGAAAGACTAGGGAAATTTTACAGACTTGGGTGGCAAAGGGCGTGCACGTGCAAGTGTGAGTTCAGTTGTTGTCTTTTGCAATCTGCAGGTTAGATTACCCCCTCAAGTAGCTAAAACCATGATGGAATTGGTGAAAAGCGGAGGACTCCGGAAAACAAAATATTCAGAAAGATAGCTTGAGGGAGCTTACCCCCATCTTACATTTGAAAATTTTTTCCTTCTTAATAGCTACAAACAGAAAATCTGTGGATTTTTCTGATGCTCCTGCCAGAAAAGCCTGCAGAACATGATGTGATACCTGTATGTTGCAGAGAATCCAAACTATTCACATTGAATGCCTCAGCTCTGACCTTGTAACAGTCTGAATCCTTTAACGTCAAATTACCAGAGTTTCCCATTTGCAGCAGGGCTCAACATCCCAGGGAAAATATGCATCTGCAGCGACTTCTGTCGGAGACTGCACAGGTCCAGATGGCAGAATGCAGCGACTGGTTTCCTTCATCTCATCTCTTGTTGTGAGGTGTAGAGTTGCAAGGTGTTTCAGGACACTAAAAGATTTCCAACAGTTGGGGCAAAGGGCTTCTTTGCTCAACAGTCTCCTGTACTCCCGACTGGGTCTCAGCGTGGTCTCATGTACCAAGTGAGGTGGGTTGCTCTTCTGAAAAGTGTTTAAAGACCATTTCACTGTTGGCAAATTAAAGCTGCACAGACAGCCTGCATTCTGGCGTTACCCAATTTTTAAGGGCAGAATATTTATTTCAGTGCTTTTGGAATATAGTTCCAGTTTTTAAATGTTGTTTTATATAAACGAGATCCTTTCCAGAGGGCATTTCCTGACTGTACATAGCAACATAAATATATCTGAAACATCAAACCCCCTGAATAGTACCAGTTGCTGTATTGAGCTAGACAAAGGAGAACATTTTGACTTGTTCTGCTTTTATTCATAAATTACCTACCCGAAGATATACAGCGATTTGAGGTGCGTGATGAAAGTTAAAACAAAATTGTGCATTTGTTGCTTTCAAAAGTGCCTCTTGGCAATGCTTAAAGCTGATAACCTCCTTGCATAAAGCCAGTCAAATGCAACTGCTTCCCACTAATTCAGATCAACAGTGGTGTTCCCCTAGTTGAGTCGAGAAATTAACCCAGCTGCATGCCTGCTTATTCACCAAGCTCTCTGTGGAGTTAAGCAGGTGTAAGAGGTTATGCAAGTCCACTGAGATCCAGAAAGCTTCCTACCAGCAGCCACTGCATGGTAACACCTTTGGGTGGTAGAATTAGTCCATATTCTTCTGACAGCCTCTGGCAAGGGCTGAGTCGGACTTGTGGCAGCTGACGGTGAATTGCTGCCTTCAAACAAATTACTCTAGTGTGAGATGGTGTACGGTGCTAGTGGCTTTGACTTTGTGCTGGAACTGAAGAGGAATTCCCCTTGACCTGGGAAAGGCTGGGAGCAGCTGCCCTGCCTTGCGTCTCAACTCTTTCATGCTGGTTTTGTCTTTTAGTTTCGCATGGCTCACCTGTGCTCTGCCTGGTGTGTGCGGGCCCCGCAGGCTGGCTCTTCTGCGCTGCGCTGCTGCCTGGGGGCTTCCAGACTTGTAGGGTGTTTGCAAGTATTCGCTGCAACCTCGATTAGAGCCACTATCTAGGTCTAGAGTTCACTTTGAACCAAGTCAGGGCCCAAGTTGGGCTTTGCCGCAGGATCTGACCCACACTATCAGCACTGCTGTATTTGCTGGCTGGATCTCATTGTAACCAGCACATGGGGGTTTAAAATTTAAAACCTTTTTATTTTGATGCAGATTTCGTATGGCACAACCACATTGTTAGTTTTAGTGTAGTATTTGAGTGTATTTGTTGTACTTGTTTTTAAAGACCATACTGTATAAACAGTATTACCTTTTTGTTTGTTGATTGATAATTAAAGAGAATTATATCTGCACACAGTGTACATTTAAAAAATTGTTACATAGTTAGTGTTAAAAAGTAATATTTGGATCAATGCCTCCTATGGATTTTTGTAGATTTTCTACTCACTGAGGCATGCAGTCAATACCTAATTTCTCTGGAGATATACTGCGCTTAACGTATTGAGTTTTTTTTAAATACTCCAGTCCTGTGCATTGAGTGCGTAAGACCAGTTTTAATTTGCTATCATTGATGAACATAAGAGTATGAACTGTCTGTGTTGAATTCCCTCCAGCATATATTTGTGTTTGCCATAGCTTTCAAGATAACCCTCCTCTTCCTTTTTACAACGTTTCACAGTAACTATTAGCAGTTTTGCCATCTCTCGTGTTGGGTAGAGGGCCTACCGAAATCCTTGCAGAACTTGCATCTACATCTGGAATAGTAAAAGCTGCTTAGGACAGTAGTGGTGACTTTTGACAAGTGGAAGGATAATTAGAATATCTGATGACGTTTGCCTCAATTAGTCCCGCTGGTTGTCACTTTCTTGTAGCTGGTGAATATGTTTTGTCCAGGCTGGTTTCATGGAGCAAAAGTGTTTGTTTTCATCTCCTGTGTTGGGGAAGGCAGTTGCAACTATGTTTGATGCCATATTTTAGCCGGTTCTTTGTGCCCCTCACATTGGGTTGTTGGAACATGCGCTCCTTGAGGTCTGTCCAAATGCTCATACACCATGTTTGTACAGGACAACACAGGCATTGGGCTGATTGTAGGGCAAGCTCTGCAGTTCTTGCTCTTATTTTCCCCACTCGTTTGACAGAACTGTTGCTGTTTGATATTAGAAACATAGCTTGTCTATTTTTCCTTTTCTTTTACATGCAGGGGCTCACTGGAATATATGCAGGGTTCATTTTGTGAGAAAGGATGTGCAAGAATATAAACACCTATGCCTGGAAACATATACTTTCTGAGTCCGCATGGCTTCCAGAGAACAGAGCTCTAAATGGCTCTGGATGAAGAGGTTTATTTGGCATCTGTCCATGTATAGTTAGGAGTCAGAGGGAGCCTGCTGGATTTTTTTGCTGGTCAAATGAATTATTGATTTGCTGCAGTTTGGTATGTGTTTCCCAAAGACTGTGTGCAGGACAAACTGTAAATCCTAAAAATAAAAGGAAAATATAACTGGTCTGGTGAAAAATGGGTGGAACTTTACAGTGTGAAATAAATAAAAAGATGTTTTCGTTTCTGAGTGTTGGATTAGAAGAGGGAGCAGGAGGTCACTGTAAGCAAAAAAAGAATTGGGCTTTAGCAAAGAGAAGATAACCACCTCTGTAAGCTTATTCTGTCCTGCCAGGAATGTCCAGAAGCAGCCAAAATAAGATGATGAGCATCACAACTTTCTAACACAACTGACGAGTGTGGCTGGGAATTGGCTGTTTAAATTTTGGCTCTTGTTCTCTACACCAGGAATTCAAAAAGGTAGTGAAT